ACCCCTCACCTCCACAGGGAGGAGACCCCCTTTGGCCTTCCTGCCTGGGCAGCGATATGGCCCCTACCCTGGGCACTGGCCTTCGGTAATTCTGGGGTGTGGCCCCAGGGAAACCCCTAGTCACCTGGTGACTCTCTCGGCCTCTGCAGGTGCTGCCGTGCAGGGAAATGCCACCTGTGGGGTGCGGAGCTGATTGCAGAGGCACCACAGAACCCTGGAGCCCGAGAGTCAGAAAAACGAGGCCTAAGGCTGCGCAGTCCAGGGGTGTCCCAGGTAGCTGCCTCGGAGTTAAAGCCAGGCTGGCTTCCCAGGGCTCCCAGAAGCCCTAGATAGATGAGAGAGAAAGATCTCTGTGTCTGGATGCAGGGCAGGTGACTGGATCAGGAGAGCATGTGAGGAGGCGTCAGTGTTGCCCTGGCAATGAGGTCTGCTTGACAAGGGCTTCATGTGGCAAGGCCTGAAGCCTCCAGAAGCAACAGGCACATCCATTGGCCCTCCAGCCACAAAATGGCCTCCATCAATAACTATAGCAAATATGGAGGGTGCAATAGGGACTGGAAAGTGGAGGCATGGGGCAGAGGAACTTAAGAGCAGGCCCTCAGTGCTCCTCTGCACTCACAGCCTGCCCTGGTTAAACCTGGAATCTCCACAAGAGACATAGATTAGCTGTTCCCATGCCAGGATCCTCATACCTCTTTACACTGTGAGACCAGCTCTTGACCAGGCATGCAGCTGTGAGTTTTGTGTCAGGTGAACAGAGTCTATACAAGTCACTGAACATCTGTACCCTGCATCTGTAAATAGGCAATAGAAAAACTTTCCTTACTATATATGTTGCTGGATTTGATTGGCTGATAGTTAAAGATTTTTGCTACACTGTTCATGAGGGATATTTTCCTGTGATTTTCTTTTCATAACTTTATCAAGATTTAGTGCCAGGTTTATCCTAGCTTCACAAAATGAATTGGGAATTGTTCCCTGCTCCTCTATTTCCTGAAAGTGTGTAAGACTGGCGATTTTCATTCCTTAAATATTTGCTAGAATTCACCCATGAAATCATCTGGGCTTGGACTGTTCTTTTGTTGTGGTTGTTTTGTTTTTAGGAAAGTTTTTTATAGTAAATTAAATTCATGTATAAGAAATAGGGCTATTACTATTTTATATTTAACCTGTTGTCAGTTTCGATAAATTGTTTTATTATTAAGGAATTTTATTTCATTTATCAAAATTATTGGCATAAAGATGCCCATAATAGTCCTTCCTTATTCTTTGAATGCCTGCATGATCTATAGTGATATCCCTCTTTCATTCTTTTTTCCCTCTTTATTCTTGATATTGATGATTTGTGTACTTGCTCTCCTTGATTAGTTTTGCTGGGGGTTATATATTTCATTGTTCTTCTAAAAATGCATGGCTTTGTTCATTTTCTCCATAGTTCATTTACTATTTCACTTAGTTCTGCTCTTATCTCTCTTATGTCTTTTTTCTACTTATTTTGGATTTACTTTGCTTTTCTTTTTCTATCATCTTTAGATGCAATATTGGGGCATTGATTTTATGCCTTTCTTCTTTTCTAATGTGATTTAAAGCAATAAATCTTCCTCTAATCACTTCTTTGGCTGCCTCTCACTAATTTTGATGTTTTATTTTTATTATCATTCAATTTCAAATACTAAGTTCCTTTGTGTTTTCTTCTTTGACCCATAGGTTTTCTTAGAAGTGTGATGTTGAATTTCCAAATATTTGGGGATATATTATTGTTATTAATTTGTAATGGAACTCCACTGTAGACTCAGGTAACTTATTATGTAAACTTTCACTTTTTCTAAATGTGTTGGCCCAGTGTTTGATCTATCCAGATGAATGCCCTTGTAAAGAATCTATCATCTGCAGTTGCTGGCTATAGTGTTCTGAAAATATCAATGAAGTAAAGGTGGTTGATAATGTCATACAGACCTTCTATATATTTACTGATTTCTTGTCTGATTATATCAACTGCTGAGGCAAGGGTGTTAAAATCTCCAGCTATAATTGTGTAAATATCTATTTCTCCCTTTATTCTGTCAATTTTTATTTCATATAGCTTGAAATTCTGTTACTGAGTGCATATACATTTATGTGTTCCTGATTAGTAGGGAGTTAACTAAACTAAGACTCCTGACTTGGTCTCCCCCATATTAGGCACCAACTAAAATTTCTGCTCAGTTCTTTTCTTGGAGTGCATACCCAGCCAAGGGGTCACCAGAGATTTGGGAGAGCGTATATGCCAAGTGTGGGTTCCCTGTCTCTGGTTCTCTCCTCTCCAGGATATTTCCTCTTGCTTTCCTCTGCCATGGTCACCCTGTACTCTGCCCTCTGGGTCTCTGGGTTTTAGGCACCCAGCATGGCATCCTCTGTTGCCCACCCTGACACATGAACAAATATGCAAGCAGGAAACTCAAATTCTACCAATTGTTTAAGGGAGAAATAATGCCAACACTATACAAACTCTTCCAGAAAAGTGAGGAGGAAAGACTACTTCCAACTGAATCAATGAGGTCAGTATTACCTTCATATCAAATCCATACAAAGACATTTATATGAAAAGAAAACTATAGACTGATATGTTTCATGAACATACATGCACAAATTCTAAACAGTTTTAGCAAATTGAGTTTGACAAGATCCAAAAATGATAACATGACATGACTAAGTAGTTTTATCATGAGAATGCAAGGTTCATTTAAACATTTGAAAATGCATCAATGTAATTCAGCATATTTACAAACTAAAAATAAAACCCCTCTAATCTATATCTTAGTTCATTTGTGCTGGTATAACAAAATATCACAGACTGGACTGGCTTATAAAGAATAGAAATTGATTTCTCAGTTCTGGAGGCTGGAAGTTCAAGATCAAGGTGCCAGTATGGTTGAGTTCTGGTGAAGGCCTGCTTCCTGATTTATACCCAGCACCTTTCTGCTGTGTCCTCACATGGTGAAGAGGTGAGGCATCTCTGGAGCCTCTTTATAAGAGCATTAATCCCACTGAGACCTAATTACTTCCCAAAGACCCCATCTCCTAATGCCTTTAAGGGTTAGGACGTCAACATACAAATTTTGAGGAGGGACACACTCAGATAGTAGCAATCCCCTCAATAGATGTAGAAAAAGCATTTGACAGAATCTGACATCCATTCCTGATTATTTTTAAAATCACAGAAAACTAGGAATAGAAAAGAACTTCCTCAATCTGATAAAAAGACATCTATAAAAAACCTACAACTAACATTATCCTTAGTAGTGAAAGACTGAGTGCTTTCCCCCACAAATCAAAATAAGACAGGGATGTCACTCTTTCACCTTGTATTCAACATTGTATTGGAGGTTCAAGTCTGGGAAATTAGGCAAAGAAAAGAAACATCACGCAGATCAGAAAGGAAGAAGTAAACTGTCTTTATTCACAAATTACAGGATTATTTATGTAGAAAATACATTGGAATCTACAGAACAGCTACTAGTACTAATATACGAGTTTAGCAGGTTGCAGGATTTAAGACCCACATACAAAAATCAATTGCATCTCTATATACTAGAAGTGAATAATCCTAGATATTAAAAGATTTAAAAACAATAACACTTACAATAGCATAAAATATGCAACACTTAGGCATAGATCTGACAAAAGATATGAAAGATTTATACATTGAAAACTACAAAACATTGCTGAGAGAAATTAAAGAACAAAAGAAATGTAGAGAGAGAGACCTCATTCATGAGTCAAAAGTCTCAATATTGTTAAGATGTCAATTCTTCCCAAACTGACCTACAGAATTTAATCCAGTCCCACTCAAAATCCAATCAGATATTTTTTTCTGGAAACTAAGATGATTCTAAAATTTATATGGGAATGAAAAAAACCTAGACTGGTTAAAACAATGCTGAAAATAACAAAAGTTGTAGAACTTACACTATCATCTTATTTCAACAATTATTTTTAAACTACAGTAATTAAAACTGCATGTTATTGGTGTAAAGATAGACAATACATCAAAAGAATGGCATAGAATCCTGAATCCACACATTTATGGACAACTGATCTTTGACAAAGGCACAGAACAGTACAGTGGAGAAAGATAGTCTTTTCAACAAATGATTCTGGAATAACTGGATATCCACATGCACAAAAGTGAACTTTGACCCATATCTTGCACTACATACAAAAATTGACTCAAAATGGATCAGAAATCTAAATAAATATAAAAATTAAAACCATAAAACTTCTAAAAGGAATTAAGATCCTTGTGACCTTTACTTAGACAAAGATGTCTTAGGTATGGGACCAAAAATATACTCCATAAAAGAACAGCTTGATCAATTTAGCTTCATCAAAACTTAGAATTTCTGTTCTTCAAAAGACACTGCTAAGAGATAAAAAGACATGCCACAGGACAGGGTGGAATGGGTCATTGGGGAGAAAAGGGGGCATCTGTAATATTTTAAACAAAAATAAAATTAAAAAAAAAAAAAGACATGCCACAGACTGGGAGAAAATGCTTGCAAAGCATATACCTGACAAAAGACTTGTATCTAGAATATATAAAGAGTTCTTACAACTTAAAAAGTCAAACAACTCAATAATAATAAAATGGGCAAAAGGTATAAGCAAGACACTTCACCAAAAAAGATATACAGATAGTTAATGAGGATATGAAAACATGCTCAACATCACTAGCTAAGGAATTCCAGTTTAAAATCATAATGAGATTACACTACAAACCTATGGTTAAAATAAGAAAGCCTGACCATACCAAGTCTTGACAAAAATGTGGAACAACTGGAACTCTCTTACACTGCTGGTGGGAATGTAAAATGGTGCAACCACTTTGTAAAACAGTTTGGTAGTTTTTTAAAAAGCTAAACATACCTCTATTATATTATCAGCCATACTACTCCTCAGCACTTACCCAAGATAAAAGGCAATATATGTCCATATAAAGGCTTGTACACAAGTTTTATAGCAGCTTTATTCATAGTTGCTCCAAACTGGAAACATCCCAAATGCCCATCAACCAATGAATGGATAAACCCATTACAGTACATTGATGCAATGAAATATTATTCAGCAATAGAAATGAATGAGCTGAGAATAATGGATATGTTTATTGCCTTGATTGTGATCATGGTTTCATGTCAAACCTTACCAGATTTTACAGTTTAAACATGTCCAGGTTGTCATATGTCAAATATACTTCAAAAGATCTGTTTCTCAAACAAATCCACCTACAAGTAAATAATAAAAAGACAAACAATCCTATAAAAGTGGCCAAGCTTTTGAATAGACACTTTAGAAATGGCCAGTAAGCACATAAAAACATCATGCTCAACATAATTAGTCATCAGGGAGATGAGAATTCAAATCAGAATTAGTTACCATTTCGAACCCACATAAATGGCTAAAAATAAAGGCTGACAACCCCAAATGTTGAGGAGGACTGGAATAAAAGGAACCCTCATACATTTCTGATGGGAACATAATTGCACAGCTACTTTGGAGATTATTCTGGCAGTTTCTTATACAACAACTATCCTATGACATGGCAATTCTTTTTCTAGGTATTTACCCAAGTAAAATGAAAGCATAGGTCTACATGAACTTGTACACAAATGATCATAGTAGTTTTATTTATAGTAGTCCAAATTGGAAACAGCCCAGATCATAAAGTAGTGAGTGAATAAACCAACTCGGATATATCCAGACAATGGAATACTACTCAGTAATGAAAGGAAAGAAGCAATAACATTCAACAATATAGATAAATCTAAAAATCATCATAATGAATGAAAGAATCCAGACACAAAATAGTACATACTATATGATTCCATTCATACGGAGTTCTCAAATAGAAAAAAGTAATCTGTGGTGGGAAAAAATTAGAATAGTGGTTGCCTTTGTATATGCCTTTGTGGTGGGGACTGACTGGGAATAGACACAAGGGAAATTTCTGGGGTGTTGATAGTGTTCTGTATTTTGACAGGAGCTTGGAGTGCATATTTGTCAAAAGTCACTGCATGGTGCACTTAAAATGTGTGTTTCACTGTATGAACTTTTACCTCCAAAAAAGAACAGTAAGCAGGTATTGATTTGTAGCTAATGCTGTGTATGTTGAAGTGTTTAGGGGTGAAGTGTACTGATTGATGTCTGCAACCTACTTTGAAATGGCTCAGTAACATAAGGATGACCATGCAATCAAGCAAGTAGAGCATAATGGTACATGGGTACAAATCTTTCAATTGAGTTGTATGTTGTAAAGTTTTCATAATAAAATGTGGAGGGGAAATTTTTAAAAAGTTATTAGCATCTAATGAATACAATTGTTATGAGAATATTTAAGAAGTTGGTAATCATTTAACTAATCATTATTAATAAAGCATTAAATGCTTATTAATTAAAAAATGAAGAAAAAAGTTAGACCATGTCCTTCAGGCTCAATTTCAGTGCCCAGCATCACCCTTCCAGCATGAGTCTTCTTTCCCTTGGCTTACTTACGGCACTCCACCATTTTCCTTTTGATCCTGGAACATGTCCAATTTGCTGTTCCTTCTACCTGTGGACACTCTTCCTGTCTTCAACAACCTTCACATGGTTGCGTCCTTGTCATTCAAGCCTCATCTCAACCGTAGCCTCACCTAAGTCCCCCAAGCCATCATTCCCAAACATCACCCTAATTGATGTTCTTCACAATTCTGATAACTCTTAAGTGTTGTATGTTGATCCTTGTTGATTACCGTCTTCCTTTCGAAACTGGCATCTTCAGAAAGGCATCCACCGGCTTAGCACACTGCCGGGCTGCTGCAGTTTCCTAGATTTTGGTAGACTGGTAGCAAATTCATTTGTAACTATCTGTCACTACTTGCAGCACCCCAGATCCAAGAATCCTGTTCTTTTCCTTTACAGCATAACCTGCTATTTTGAAATTAATTCAAGTGCGTTTCTCTTCCACCCCTACCTTCCCCGCCCCCCGCAAGTGTGCGCCCACACACAGATACGTTCACAGGAGCTCTTAAGGGCAGGGATGTGGCCTGGTTTTGCTCACAGATGTATTCTCAGTGCCTGGCGCAGCCAGGGCTCACATCTTTAATGAATCAGTGAGGCACTTTGACTCCTCCATTGGGGCCTGACTTCGCTCTACTTCACCCGAGGTTCTCCTCTCGCCACCCTCACCTCGGTCCAGAAGGCGCCT